AATTATTTTTTGTATATTTTTATTAAGTACGCCTTGATGAGAAGAATGAACACCTAAAATTTTAAATGATTTGAATTTGTAGAAATAAAAATAAAAATTCAATACGAAAATGAAGTTGTGACCGTCAGATCGGCCCATATTCAATCTGGGCCGTTGGCTGGCAATGTAGCTATTTGCCCGTGGCTGACACATAACAGTGATTTCATGCAACGGTTGTATAGTAATATGATGCAACCACCTTAAAAAACCATGTTAAGGCGATTTGTTGATTCAAATTTTGAAATATACGCTCTTTGCATTCTAATGATCAACCACAAAAAAAAAAAAATTGAAAACGTAACCTATAAAGTATTTTTTTAGCCCAATTAACATGGGCCGTCCATTTTGGTGAGATACTTAAATCTAAGCTTCAGAAGTATTTTTCTTTTTCAATTTTTTTAGATGGTTTTCTTATCATTAGATGAACAATGTTAAAAAAGAATAAAATGATTTTGAGTTTATAAAGGCTAAGATCTTGAAATTCACCAAATGAGTGGTCTAGATTCGTTGTTGGAGGGGACTCATTTTGACCATATCTAGGGTTCAAATTGAATTTTTTTTGTAGATTGATTATTGAGATGAAGAGAGTGTATGTGCAAAATTTTGAGTTATACAAATACCACAAACATGGTTTTCTAGAAATGTGATCGCATTATACTATAATACAATCGTTGTATGAAATCATTGCTCATATATCTATATATATATATATATATATAATATTAGGGTGCTCACTTTATAGTATGAGCACTCTACACTTGCAATTATACTTGATGTTCAAATGAACCAAATGAGGCCAAACTTTGTACATGATCAAAGTTCATCTTCCACAAATAGATTAACAAAATAAATGTTTTTTTAAGGTTATTATAATAAAAATTTATTATTGCATTCCATTGAATTATTATGGAATTATAAGCCACTTCAACACAAAAATTCTCACGGATCTAGAAAAAAGCACTTGTAATTTTAATATTTCAGAAAAAGAACTTCTAATGTGGCCATTTTAAAATGGAAAAACAAATATAGACTCAAACATGTAACTCAAGCAACTCTGTTTCACTTTTCTGGTTTTTGATTTCATACAAGTCATGCTTAAAACTGACCTGCCCGTACATCTCTGTCGATACGATCGGCATTGAGTGTGCCTGGAAGCTCTCTAAAGTCATCATTGAAGATTGAATATGCACTGCACAGGGTATTAAAATATTCACTTAAGAGAATCCATACAGTTTTTTTTTTTATATCAAAGGTTACATGATATATATTGCAGGCCCTACAATTTTAACTGCAATTTCCTGAGCAATGGCTTATATTTAGAATGTGATTGGAGGCTTTGCATTCGGATTCATGGTAAATTTTATATCATAATAGTATCATGTTGTTTTATGATTTGTAGCAATCCTATTGCCAGTTTTGTTCCGTTTGTTCTTCACATATGCAGGATCTCTACTTGGTATATTGCAGACCTTTTACTTGATTTTGATTTGGATTCCTCATTGTGTTTCATGAAATGATCAAAGTACCTTGCTGGGATAGGGCTTGAGTTTCTTTGCTTTTTGGACCATTCTTCTCTTTGATATGTCAATAAAAATATGATACTATATATTTTTATATGAAATTCTTTTTTTTTAGGCATGTTTCCATTTTCTAAAGTTCTTCACTTTATATGTTTACCCAATTATTTGATATACTTTATTTTTATTTTTTTGAATAACTACCAAAAAATAATATTAGGTTTTAATAATTTTATCATCTTAAATTATGAATTTTTTAATAGTTCTTAAGTTTTTTAAAATTTCAATACTTTATAATTTTCATTAGGAAGTTTTGTGCTTTACAAACAGTTTTAACTTTGTTTTTTTTTTTGGGGTAGATACATACCCCCAACCCGTTTTGAAAAGTTAATGAGAATGGAACCCATGACCCTTAACTAGGACTCAAGTGATACTACAAGCACAACCCAGCCCCATTCCCATTCCCCAATGGTTTGTAAATTACATTCATGATTGATTTAAGAGATTTTCAATTATTACAAAAGCTTAATATTGCGTGATACCAATGTGTGCCCTATTCTGATGGTTGATTGCATTCCATATTGCCTCCTATGTTTACATAGTCCTTACTGGCTAATTTTTTTTTAAAAAAAATTCTAATTATGGTTAGAAATTTAATGTATCTCAATTAAAATTTCTAATATTAAATCTCTGATATATTTACATTCAAAATTTTTTATGCTTGAAAATTTCATTTTTGACTCATTTTCCTCTTTTTCAAAATTTTAAATTATAAATATTGATGTCATATTTTAGCAAATTTTACATGTTTTACAAATAATTTATGACCAATTTCTAAATGTCAAAGGGCAAATTTCTATAACCATTGAATGTTTCACAACTCTAACACTCTAGCGTAATTTTGTGGGAAGTAAAACGAGTAAGAGATAGTCTTAACTTCCGCCTAGAATGAGATAAGTACATTAAACCAATTCGTTCATCTCTTTTACGGTTATACATATGTTCATCTCTTTTATAGTTATACATATGGAGGAACTTAAGTGCAGTTTCAATAAGTAATAAGAAGATGGAAAGTAGACTTAGGTCGCTAGCCATGTAAACCTAATATAGTGTCAATTATGAGATATCAAGTGGAAGACTCAAAAAGGACAAGAAGAAAGACTCCCAATAACATGGTAAAAGTGGTGAGAAAATATATGGTGATTTTTTATCTTATTAAAGATAGGAGCCTTGATCAAGAAGAATGAAAAAACATGATTCATGTAACTAACCCTTGGGATAAAGCTTGGATGATGATGATGATAATGAACTACAAAATGAACGAAGTTCTAAAACAAATAGCAATAGTAATTTCTGGGCCAAAATTTTGCACATCTTTCAGTTGAAAGATAAAACAACTTCAGAAAAACAAAAAACAAACAAGAAGAAGTTGATTTCTTGAAGGACTAGATCCACCAAATGGACAACCTGTATTCCTGGAAATGGCAAATTCATTTTCCCCCATTTTGTATGAACTTTTTTCTTTTTTTCTCAATCACCTAGTTTCTATTAAAAAATCCGAGGTACAAAAGACCTCCACTTTTCAAAGTGGCATACACTACATTATAAGCTCTTTGACTTAAATTCTCTTTCCATTCATTTATATTAATTTTCACTCTTTTTGCTTGTTTTGAAATAGAATCTTGGAGAAAATATCATTAAAAAAAACGAAATAAGAAAAGAAAAAACCATTAGTTCACCTCAACCTTCAGAAATAATAACAGGTTCCTTGATTTTTTGAAGGTGACAATAGAAAATGTGGTTTCTAAGTACATCAATGTAGATAACAAAATCAAACTTGTTTCCATTTGAGAGAGAGAGAGAGAGAGAGAGATCCCCACCACCATCAAGATTTTGTGTGATCAGGTTCCTTCATTTTTTGAAGGTGACAATACAAAACGTGGTTTCTAAGTACATCTATGTAGATAACAAAATCAAACCTGTTATCACTTGGGGAGAGAGAGAGAGAGAGAGAGAGAGAGAGAGAGAGAGAGATCCCCACCACCATCAAGATTTTGTGTGATTCATATTTTCATATAAGAGAGAATCATAGAATATTTCAGCAAATCCCGAAATTCGCAACTGCTTGCTATCCAATAAAGACCTGTGATTCCCAATAATAAACCAAAATCCCCTACAAGATTAGTTACAAATGCTTTTTGACAAACATATGCTGCACTTGGTCGGGTAAACCAAAAAACTATTGATAGATACGAACACATTCCCACAAGTTCCCATAAAATATAGATTTGTATCAAATTTGGACTGATAACTAATCCCATTATTGAAGTATTGAAAAAACTCATATTAGCAATATTTTTTTTTATAATTAAAAAAAAAAACTCATATAAGCAATATTATTAGTGCAAATGCAGCTCTTCCCTGATGCTAAGCTGGCTTCAGCTCTAGTGATTCATCTCACGTTAATGAAATATTTAATTAATACTAGTTCTAATCCGAGGTTTTCAGGTGTTTATGAATTAATGCAACACTTCTTTCCTCAAGCTGAAGGTATCCAATTATTTACAATGGTCAGGCCATGTCCAACTTCAGCTTGGAGTTGAAACCACTAAGGTTGAGGTAAACATACTATACGATGGTACTTGAATCCTGAACCTACAGTATCTGCTTATGACGATGGTAGAGGGCACCCACTTTCCCTAGTTCCCTTCTCAAAAATAGATGATGGGGATAAAACCATAGTTCCCGATTAGAAAAAGTAGAGGAAAAAAATCAGCCATGTGACTGCCTAAAGCCAAAGAATTTTTCTTATAGCCGAGAACCAATCTGTTTAAACTAATTTTGTACTATCAAATCTATGATATGTTTGCCCCCTTAGGCCAGTTTGAACACTTGGAAACTAAATTCAAGAAATGGACTTGCTCACGACGAAAGAAAAACAAGGTTTTTTTTTTTTTTGGAAGTGGTTTTTTTCATAAGTGGGCTTCAGAAACAAGAGTTCCTCATGAATACCTATTCTGGCAAAAATACAACAATAACAGGGCTCATTCAAATTGAGTGGCCCAATCAAACTGGCCCTTGTAAAATTTTTCTTTTAATTGTAAGTGAAAGAATTTCTTAGTTTAATACCAATGAGAAAAGGGACTTTCGAATTGATCACCCAATAGAGGAACGTACCTGAGATCGCCTTGTTGCCTGTGTCCAAGATTGAAAAGTATGATGCTAAACCCTGTGGCGAGTATCTGCATGAAATTCAAATCAGCATCAAGGAAAAGCGACAAAATGTTAGCTATTCAAATGGGCACTACATATCAAAATGTAGGAAATAAATAAAAAAAGAAAAAAATGTCACCATAGAGACAATTCCAGGTAAATAGAATTTGTTTAAGTACATGGATCCCATATCCCACCTGAAGATGGGTATTATGATAACAATTATAATGGAACATGCAATAACTATAACTCAGTAGACCGTGAAATGGCCATAGTCCATCAGCATTATAACCAGCTGATGAATGATGGATGGTGATGAAGTGGGACCACCCAAACCCTAGTGATGGGTCCCACTCTCTTCACATCACCACACATCATTTTATTTGAAGCCAATGACCTCTACGCACTATGGTTTTCTAGTCCAATGGATTATAGCATGCACTTTCCATAATTATAAAAGATAAAATATGGAAAATTTCTGGAGGAGAAAATCAGCTCACATATAAAGGTCCTATATCCCATCGGTACGCGACAGGTGCCAACATAAACCACATGATGATGACGGCCCATGCTTTTAGACTGGTAGAGAAAATTGCCATCAACAGGATATCTATTGATGTTAATAAAGAAAAGTAATGTTACATAATCGGCCAATCTTGTTCTTTGTTTATTCATACAAAGCAAAGCATTAAAGGAAAGAAGGTAGAAAATAATAACTCATAAGCAACTTAACCCCACCCCCCAAAAAAAGAAAAAGAAAAGACAAAGCATGAGTACAAACCTGGAAACCTCAACTTCTCTTGAAGGAAAGAGAATAGCTGCCTCTTCCACCTAGCTGTTGATTCTGGCATCTTAAACTTCTAAACCCTCAGATAAATCAGTCAATCATGTAAAAATCAGAGTTAGTCATAATTTCCAGGTTAAATATTAGAAGTCTTTTCTTTTAATAATTGTTAAAGTCCTTTTTTTGTAAAGTGAAGTTAGAGATTACAGTTTTAAAAACTTACTCACCAATTCATCATCATCATCATCACCATCATACCCATCACGAATGTGTTTAGCAGGCGGTTTTGGTGCAACAGCTACTAACAAAGAATCTACAAATTTAAGGGAAAAATCAGCTAAGAAAATTAATATTAAAACAAGAACATATTATCAATTTCCTTGCTTTTTTATAAAGGCTGGGAATAGCAGGGAAAAATCTGCCAATTGTTAAACCAAGTTTTCTACGGAAAGTCATTTTTGAACAAAGTGGTAAAAGATGGATTCCATCAAAAGAAATATCCAAAATAAATATGAGCACGTATAGCGAGCTCCAACTTCCTTGGGTAAATGGCCTACTTAGACAATTTAAAATTTTGGGATCCACTTTAGGATCAACAGATGAGAATTTTAGAAAAACAAAAATTGGATTTTGAGTATTTAGACACCTAGAACTGACTATCCAAAAATTAGACAGTCTCTGTATTACATTAAGACATTATATTTTTTGGGTCCTCATAGAATGCATATGAAGATTCTCCTTTTTGAGATTGAGGAGGTTGCATCCCCAAAATTTCGGGTCCTTAAAATCCTAAATAGGGTTTTTACCCAAGCAAGCATATAACCAACTGTCAACCTTCTACGGGATCAGACAAGGGATGAATAATACCATCTTTCTTAACTTAACATGCGAACTATTTGAAGGCATGGTAAAGCCCGTAAATTATAAGGGATTCTTTGATTTTGTGGCTCCTGACCATAAAGAAATTCTTCAGTTCTGCAATTGAATTAGCCTAAAAGTAAAAGCATGTAATGTGGAGTAGCACCCCAAGATGTGAACCGAGGGGGTTGCCGAGCCAAATGATCTAGGGATTCTTGAAGCTCAACTATGATGAATACTCCGCAGGGGCCCCCACTTCTGCCAATTATGATGAGGCGCAAATACGATGAATGTTCACAGTCTGAGATAAGACAGAACCCTCAAGATGTTTCTCAGGGCAATGAGAACTGACAACTCAATCAAGGAAGAGGCAATGCCCACATTATTGTACAAATGAATTTAGGCGATGTAGATAATATGGGACACTGTTACATGTTAGCATACCTTACGATCTAAATGCCTTAGGAGCTATTTGTCAATGGCTCTATGCACGCATCCTTCCCCTTTGTAAAGGAAAATTCCCCCACTAATACATTCTTGACACTTTTCAATATGTCATTGGGCTTCATTTGAAAACCTCTATGGCTCATTGTTTATTACATTATCCACTATCTCATTTCTTGTAATGGCTTGACCAGAAACCCTCTTGGCATTTTGGTTTATCCAATTACATAGGTGGTGTGGCACATGGATAACCATTGACCACACCTCCCTCAAGTCTTTTATTTAGTAAAAGAGACCTCCCTTTTTACAAAGGGATTGTATATTATGAAATCATTTATTTTCAGTACAAGGAAATCACAATCACTTTTAGCCATTGGAGGTGAAATCCAATAGATGAAAGTGTGTCACAACATTTGAGAAATTTTCTTTTGGACTTTGCGCCTAAACAACGGCTAACCACCCGATTTCAAATCTGATGAACAATGATGATTGTGACATCCAAGTCATCATCACCATCAATGCCTTTTTCCAAGTAATTGGGGTCAAGTACACGAATCCTGGTCTGCCATTCTCCTCCATTAAGGCCATATCCTCAGTGAGGCCACAAGTCCTCAAATTTTTTCTCACTACTTCCAACCATGTCCTTTGAGCGTACCCCTTACCCTTGTTTAGCCTTCCACATGAACTAACTCACGCCTCCTAACAAGTGCAGGGTCTGCGACACACATGGCTAACCCACCTAAGTTTACTCTCTCTCATCTTATCGCCTATTGGTGCCACACCTAAATTTTTTCGAATGTATTCATTTCGAATTCTATCTCTTCTTGTCTTGCCACTCATCCATCTCAGCATCTTTATCTCTGCTGCACTCATTCTATGGATATATTGTTTTTTTTGAACACCCAACATTCCGCTCCATAAAGCAAAGTTGGTCTCACAACTGTCCTATAGAACTTGCCATTTAGCTTCATTGGTATTGCGGCAATCACATAAAATTTCAGTTGCACATCTCCACTTTGTCCACCCAGTATCAAAAGCAAACGGTCTCATTATATATATATCTCCTTATAGAAATGGTTAGCTAAAAAAGGACTTTAAAAATGTTTGTTACAAAGGCTTTGAGCCCATATTTGTCCATGAGGCCTGCATGGCCATATATGTCAACAATATTCCACTCGGTCCAAAGGCCATAATTCTCTACAAGGCTATGCCATAACAGATTCTACCAGTGTAACATCATTCCCTGCGCGATCTACGCTTAGAGGACTTAGTTATTGCATTATTATTGCATGCAAGGGTTTAATGCATAATAAAATAAACAATGATCCATCAAGGTTATCAAATTAATCCCCATAAATTAGCAAGAATGGACTATGGGGAAATGTGCCGATATAAAAGGGAAGGGTCTACGCATATAACCCACCACCAAATAGCAGCTCCCAATGCATTTGGTTCACTGAGTATGCAAAATGTTTACAACATCCAAATATTTCCCATCTGGTCTATCCTCATTCATCCAAGTTCAACACTCCTAATAGATCTTAACGGTTTCTCTCATTTCTTCTCAAAGACCTCCATTTTGGAGGCTCGTTCCCTTGAAGATGGGCTTGGAGAGATTAACTTCTCTAAACACATATGTGTAATCATGTATCCTTATTAACTTTCTTGTTCAGGATCAGCCCCTATTGCAACCTAGATGCAACAATGCAACTTGAATATCCATTGTATTTTTCTACTCTTGTCTGCAGAATAAAAACAATAGAGAACAAAAGTAACTATTTTCAAGGCTTTTGCAAGTGGTCAAGAGATACCTCCTTCATTCAGATTCACATACATGTCATCCCCATGTTCCGTGTCTTGCAACACTTTGCCATGCAAAATAAGCTTCACTCGTTCAAGAGGCGAATGGACCTCTGCGCCTATTAATTTTCTCAATTCATGCACCTAACCATGGCAAGCAACATAAAAGTCAGCACTCAATGCTAGGATGTCATGGGTAATTTGTCCATAATCTATAGGATATTTAGAGGGGAAAGAATCATAAGAAACCACATTATCCATAAGCTGTATGGTATGTGTGAATATCACAGATAATGAATTAATTAGGATAAAGCACATGCGAGAGATCTTTGCAACATAATTTTCCTTTAATATTTTTTTGAGGAAAAAAAAATGATGCTAGTCCTCAAAGATCAAAACAATGAGAACAACTTCATTTCCACTTCACAAGCTACAACATGAGAAATATTAATGGTGGCAATGAGAAAATTGAAGTACCAAAAGAGGCAATCTTAGGGAACCTTAATTGAATTTGAGAGGATACTAATGCTAAGAAGCCCTGCACTCCAGGGGATTTTTTAATAGTAGGGAAAACTCCTAGGTGCATCTCTCGAATGTGCAGAATTATCTAATCGAATTACATAGGATAAGTTGTAATTATCAAACCCACCCCATGCCCCCCTGTCTTCCCAAACAATATTTAGAAAATATGGAAAAATGAAACATGGTTCCATTGACAAATCACTTCCTAAACTATTAACACATTCTAGATCATTCTAAATCAGTATAATAATATCATCTACTAAAAGGTTAGGACCCAGTTTCTATAACTGCAATAAGAGACTTAAGTATACCTACTGTTCTCCTCAATCACTCTGAAACAGAAAATTACAAAGGTAATGGAAAAATTTTGATTAATAGAAATTCTAATTGAAGATTATCACTTAAGGTTTTTGGGACACTGCTGAGAACTCGAATCATAAATAACAAAGAATCACTGAGTCAATTTCAGATTTTAATGGGAACCCAATTCATGATTCACATGCTATTCTGTAGTCAATCCAGTGTTCCCACAAAAAAAAGCCAAAGTAGTTCTATTTTATCCAAACAATTTAGGGTTTTCGTAAGAACCCCTCTCGCTGCAAAAGAGAGTGAATCACAGAAAGCTAGAAATTCATGCTTCCATTCAATTTTACAGATAAAATTGACAAAAACCAAATTCCTTAATCACCAAAATACATTAAAGAATGGAATCCCAAAGGGGTTTTAAGCCCTGTTTTCAATTCTCTATTTCCTTCTTCCATTAATGGGGTGTTTGCAAAGCTTACCTTGATTGAAGAAGGAACTGGTAATCGATGAGGACGCGAAGGTCCAATTATCTTGAGATTAATGGTAACCTCTCTCTCTTCCATATTCCTTACCTTTCCTTAATCTCACCTTAATCTTCGTCAATTGCATCGAACGCATGAACACCAACTCAAATTACGCTCCTGAAGACCGTTACGATAGAAAAAGAGAAAGGTGTTCTTCACTTTTGGCAAGCGTACATGGTGATCGCACGAGATCAAATTGCATGTATGATATCCTGGCCAAAAGATCCGGTTAGGGGTGTCTGTGAACTAAGATAAAAGTAAAAATATTGCTTTGGTTTGTTTTCTTAGTAAATCCAAAATTGCTTTTGAGTTCTTAAAGTCTTTAAATATTTCATCAAATCTATACTCTAGACTACTCTTGAAAGCAAACTGATGGGGACCGCGTTTTTAATTCCTAAACCAATTTTTTTTCCTTTATATTGATCTTACATATAAATAAGGATTAATTGAGAGAACTGGGGACAAACAGATCCACTTGAGCTAGTGCTTTGGAGGTGGGATCAAATGTATAACTCGCTTGTTGGCCTCATGGGAACACAAAATTTGATTTTTGAAAGCTTATATGAGGTTGCAACCTTATATTTGCCAAGTAAAAAAATAAGTGTTCCAAATTTGGAAAACCTTCAAATTAATGATCTCGAGATATACGTATTTAAAAATAAAAGAATTTTGAGTCTTAAATTTTTTATATTTTGTAACAAGTTATGTGAGCCTTCTATTTTTAAAATTTTCAAAGTGTTTATAAATCGGCTAGATTTGTACAGTATTTGAAATTTTAAATTCATGATTAGGATTGAACATAGATTTTCAAGCTGTCGTAAGGTTTCTGATGCCAAAACTATATCTTTTGGTAAATTTAGAGGCGAACCTTACTTGTATAGTACAAGGTGATATCTTATACAAATCTCACCCATTATGTAATATATTCATTATATATTATATCCCTTATATTAATAAGGGTGTGGTTTGTATGAGGCCGAGGGACTAAACCATCAAAGTAAGGTGCGCCTTCAGATAATGTTAAAAGATGTTCCAATATTGGAAATCTTTATGAGGGCCTTAAAATTTATTTTAATCTCTCATTATAAAATTTAAAGCTTAAAAAACAATGTAGATCAAGCAAATCTATGAACACTTGAAAATCTTGAAAATTGACGGTCCAAAAAATGCATTACAAGATGCACTATTTCCAATACTTAAAATCCATTTTTTTCTCATGTCCCTACATCTTGAGGTAGAGATGATCAATTTGATGCTTTTTGGGCATCAAGACAAACTCTTCTAAGTGAATTATTGTGGTGCGCCTTAATTCGAGGTCCTTATATAAATCTTTCCCAATAAATAATTAAGAGTGAGGTTTGTAAAGGTGCACATTTTATAATATACAAGTAATTCACACTTCTAAAATTTGTCCAAAGTTGTAGTTTCGAAGTTGAAAACTTTAAGGTGACTTGAGAATCCATGTTAACCCTAATTATGAAATTTAAAATATCAAAACAGTGTATATTGAACATATCTATAAATATTTCAAAATCTTAAAAATAGACGGTCTAGATAACTTGTTACAATATGAACTATTTTTAGACTTGAAATTCTTCTTGTTTTTTATACAATACATGTTGAGGTCAAGAAGACCAATTGGAAGGTTTTCCAACTTCAAAACACTCTTTTCTACAAGAATTTTAAGGTGCACCTTACTTCTGTAATATAAGGTTACACCCTTATATAAACTATTTTTAAATATAATTGATAACACTTGAAAATATAAAGGTTAATGTTAGAAGGAAAAGTTAAAATAAGGCTTAGGCCTTATGGGAAAAATTAAAGCCTCGCCTCAAAACTCATCTAGAATTGCAATTTTGGCCATGGAAAACCTTAAACCTTGACCAATATATTTTGTCAAAAAAAATTTGGATTTCAAACATCCATATCAGCCATTTTCAAGTATTCACATATTCATAAGATTTATACCATTTATTGAGCTACAAATTTTATAATCAGCGGTGGAAACAGACTTTAGAGACATGAAATGGTTTGGAGATATTGTGAAATGGTTATTTCAGAATGAGATAAGGATTTATAGATAGTCATTTAGGGTATTATAAGCTTGTAATCTGATTTCATAATGTTTGATGTTATTTGCTATCCTTTTGAAATGGTTTTCAGTCAAAGCATGCCTTAATCGATTGACTGCCGATCCAAAATCATACCATCTTGGATCAATGTAAAACTATGGGGAACGCTAACATAGGGCATTATGAGTCTACCATACAAATTTCAAAAGGTTTGAATGCTGTTTGATGCATTTTCAGGTTGAGATGAAAGTTTAGATGAAACTTGGGAATTTAACCTAAGGTATCATATGCTTATACTTATAATTTGAAGTCATCTGGACTTGATTTGACCCACTTTCTATAAGTTATACTTATTATGTTAAGGCTCTCAGCCATTGTTGGGTTAAGCAATAAGCACTATATATCAAACGTATTGACATTCTTGACTTTAGATAGAGGTTTCTCTCTAATCTTAGGGAGTTTTCTCATGAAAGTTGTTGAAAATGTTCTTGGCACAATGCCCTACAATCCTAATAAAGAATCAAGGCCGTTAAATCACTATTTTAAAAGTCATTTAAGCTACAAAACTCATAATCACGGTAGACTGCAAAAGGAGATTGTTGGTCTAAACTTCGAATTGAGATTTCTCCCAAGTCTAGACTCGAGAGGAATTTGTTGGGTTTGGTGATAGCCGAATCGCCATACCCATATTTTATTTTAAAAGATTAAGGGTATTATCGTAAAAAAAAAAAATATATTTTGGGAAGCAAAAAAGTGATCTCTATATAAGGGAGTTAAATAAAGTATAATACACATCCTTTTGAGGGTCACCTTTTTGGGGTTTATGGGAATGGATCTCCAAAGATGGAGATTGGTATCCAAGAGAGAGAGAGAGACATGACTTCTGAAAGAGAGAGACAGTATTCCTATGAGTTTTGGATTGGTAACGCTTCCACTTCTAGAGAGAGAAAATCTTTCGGTTGTTCTCAATGTTATCTTTACAGTAGTAGTATTGCGGTGGGAAAGAAGGTATTAATCTTTCGGTTGCACTCAAAATTATCTTTTCGGTAGCAGTATTGTGATGGAAAAGAACGTATTGATCGACAGTGTTGCTCGATCGAGAGAGCAGGTTTAGAAGGAACGGTCATTGATGGTTTTCTACCGATGTTTAGAGAGCGGTATATCTCTTGTAAACCAAAACTATAATCTTCATTATATAGTGGATTTCTAGCTGCTGAAGCTGTGGATGTAGCCCTACGGGATAAACCACATAAATCATGTGTTGTTGTGGTGTGTTTTTTTAAGTTTGCTTTATTTCTTACATTCAACTTATAATTGTATTCATCTACTTTGTATTTAGCCTATCATGTATATGATCTTGGGTGGATCCCGTTATTTGGGATTCTCAGTTATGCATGCTGGGGGCTCTCGATAACCCTACAGAGTTTTCTCATGAAATTGGATGGAGATATTTCCTATGGGAAAGGAAAACATTTGTGTTCCTAATTTGGAGTCACCATATACGTTCGGTGGCTTCCTCTAGTGAGAGAAGCAATGCCAGCAATAGGGAGAAATGAGCTTTCCATGAGAAACACTACGATAATACCTCTTTCAAAGGGAGATGGTAGTTTCTTGTAGTGAAGAGTTCATATAGAGATTTTGGGTCGTTTCCCCTTTCAGTGAGAGCAAGTATTAGTTACTCTCAAGTATCTCTTCTCAGTGGGTGATGTTAGACGAAAGAGCCGGTCTGAAAAGGTTGCTCAAATGAATTTTTCAAGGCTTAGAGAGATAAATTTGTATCTATAATTTATGATGTAACTCTTATAAGTGTGGTGAATTTCAATTTATCATGTCCATGGATATAGCCTCTTTAAAATGAATCCTTATATCTTTTGTGGTATGTGTGTGTTATGTTTTAGTTCTTGCATTATCATTTACAACACAAGATTTTTTTCGATATTCAAGTTATATCACTTGAGTAATTGAAATGTCCATTCTTGCTTCGAGAGCCAATACCAAAATAGAGGTAGTTTGAATATTTGTTAACTAAATAATTAAAAAAGGCAATTGTGTGATATGTATTTTACAAAGTAAGAATCTATTTCTAAATCGGTTGATTCAAGCAGCTAGCTGAATTTTTGAAGTTATTTTGCACATTTTAGTCATGTTTTCTTTTATTGATATGCCTTTAATGTCTACATGGTAATAATTGGCACATATCCAACTCTAGGGAGATAAAGGAAAATGGATAATGAGAGAGAGAGAGATACTCCTACATGGCATTAGGAGGGATAGATCATAGAGAAAGATGAATAACCCATAGCTTGATATTGGGGAGAGAAAGAGGTGCATTAGTTGATAGGCACTTTGGCACTAAAAACAACAAGTAAATGCATAAAATCTTGGACAAAAACTTAGGGGGCATGTAAGTTAAATATAGAAAGCGAGGTGAGGTATAGATCTGCTTCACATTTGTCATAAAAGGAGACAGAATTGTGCAAAGGCATGAGCCTAATTGATTGTGAAAGCTCTACCCATTCAGCACCTCAGAAATTTATCAAATCGATCATCTCGACCTCAAGATTTGTGGACGTTTGAGAAAATAGATTTTAAATCTAGGAAATAATACATTTTTTTGGATTGTCAATTTTTAAGATTTCAAGCTTTCATAAATCTGCTTGGTCTACATTATTTTTAAAGCTTTAACTTTTTATTATTAGATATGAAAATACATTTTCAAGTCATCACAAAAATTTCTAATACTAAAACAACATCTTTTGATAGAATTTGAAGGTCAGCCTTTCTTTAATTGTTCAGGGCCCCAACCTCATTTATACCACACCCTTTAAAAATGACAAATTATCTTATGTAGACCATGACTTATACCTACCCCTCTTTTTTTTTCCTTTTTTTTTAAAATAATTGTGAATCAATAGAAATATGATTATTTTTTTTAAAGGACACGGTTTCTATGATGCCAGCTGCATATTGTAAAAATTCAGGCTCGACAATAAATGTATTTTTTAAATATAGTTTGATCCTAATTTTTGGAGAATATATAATCGGTGGAGTAACATGGAGATCATGAATATGAAAAAACTAATAATTGAAAATTAAAAATAATAATTATATTTAAAAAATATTTAGACCGTTAGTTCTACTTGTTTTTTAGATGGACCACCTATTTGCATCCATCTTTAAGATGGATGCTTTATCCGTCTGGACTGCATATTGTAGAAATGCGGTCTAGTCCACATGAAACGATTTTTTTTTTAAAAGAGTAGGGCTTTCATGGATCCTATATTCTGCACACATGTACGTCTCTTTATTAATAAAATAGGTGGGGCCTTTGATCTCCACTGATTCACCCTTAAAAAAAAAAAAACTTACACCTATCCCCACCAAACCCAACCTTTTCTCTCTCTAAATTGAGGGTTTCACCCTCACTTTAACAACCAGGTAGACTTGAGATTAGAGGACCCTGGGTCTAGAGATTTCCAATCTCAGAAGCGACCGCGTCGAATAGAACGAGTTGCTTCACTATAGGGGATCCGGGCGATTCTTGAGCCTTGGGAAATCACTTGTGTCTGACTATTACCCTTTCTAAAATTTTGTTATGCATTAAACGGCAACAAGGGCCGACCCGGGACTTGCCTCCACGACTTCCCATAGCAGGCTTGTGCCCCGACCCGAGTCCATGTTTTCCAACACTAAAACCAAACAAGAAGAACAAAAGAAAATGAAAACTTGAATAAGTTTGGGTGAAAAGTGCAGAACAATCCATCCAAATTGAGAAAACAAATCATAGAAAAATACTTCCAAATTCCTATAGAGAGTCGATCCAACTCCGATCCTACTCCCCATTAAAAGTTGGCCAAATAATTTATTTAAATGTAGGCTCCTTGATTCTAGAGTACATATTTTTTCTCAATGGGGCAAAGAATATAAATCTTGGGGGGACCAAACCTTCTAATATATTTACAAATACTTTATAATTGCTATTATGTTTGAATTTTAATTTAAATAAAGTATTTAAATATATGAGAAAATAAAGTAAAAAGATCTCTCCTCAATTATTAGGCCCCACCCAATTTTAATAAATTTGAGTGGTCAAATGAGCAGCAAAATGCAAAAAGAACCAGCATTATTCACCCAACATAAAAGGAAAAAAGAAAAAGGAAAAAGCCTGCATATACCAACTCTTTGAAGTTAGAATATTGAGGAATCTTGAACCACTTCCATTGTTTGCACCAAGATGAAAGCAATTGAAGCCACGTTTAGACTTCTCCAAGTGTTGATTGTTTTGTTTGCAGGATTAGGGCAAGCAAAAGCATTGGAAAAGAGAGATTTCCCTGAAGACTTCATTTTTGGGGCAGGAACTTCAGCTTATCAGGTAATTTTCTAGCTATGTGGGTTTTAATTTAATTTTTGGTTCCACCCAAATTCTTTATTTTCATATTCTTTTGCTCTCTCTCTCTCTCTC